CCAGCTCAGAAAAACAAAAGTTTTTTTTATGTCATTTGTGACTTTTCTGGAGAGTAAGCATAAAGGATTTCATTGTTACAGCTACTTAAGAAATCTCATACAATGTATTGATTTGTTTGTTAAAAAATAATCATTAGCCCTATTACTGAATTCTGTATTATTTAAGGTATTTTCACATGATTATATTTTTATAAATACAGTATGTATATTTACTTGCATGCACTCTGTAAAAAGGGCAAAAATATGATATTAGAATATATGACCCATCCTAATCAATTTGATCTCATCAATCCTGTGCATTTTAAGACTATTAACAGAAATTATTTCTGAAACATTATCATTTACACACTGCCTTAAATATTCACACTGTCTAAATATGAGACATTCACATATACTTAGTAAAAAAGTGGAGCAGTGGCTCTGTGGCTAAGGATCTGCGCCTGTGACTGGAAGGTTCAAATCCCGCGGCCGGCAGAGGAATCCTACTCTGTTGGGCCCCTGAGCAAGGCCCTTAACTCTAACTGCTCCAGGGGTGCTGTACAATGGCTGACCCTGCGCTCTGACCCCAAGCTTCTCTCCCTGTCTGTGTCTGTGTCTCCATGGAGAAAAGCTGGGGTATGCGAAAAGACGAATTCCTAATGCAAGAAATTGTATAGGGCTAATAAAGAAACATTAAAAACTTAATTTTTAGATAAACCTGCCTTACCTACCAAACACACTGCTTCAATAATAAAATGAAAATCTTCTATTTTAACCTACACATATCAGTTTCTCAAGAAGAGATTCGTAAACTACATGACATTGTGAAAGTACTTTTCAAAATTTTCAACAAACCTCCATGTATAAGACGTTTAAGAAGCGGAGCTTCGGAGTTTGTCATTATCTTTAACAACATCACATTTTCAACACCTAAGTAAAGCTCTGAATAATGTAGTGGGTTATTTTTTTTCCTTTGGCAATACATTAAATTCATAAATTATTCTACAGCTACTGATATCATCTTCTCCAATCCTACCTAATTATGCAGAAAAAAGCAACATTAAAAACACAACTCTGACTAAATGCATTGATGTTTATTCTTGATTAAGTACAAATCCTGGAATATTTTAGATATTGGCACCTAGGAGCAAAGGGTGAACATCACCAATAAGAAGGGATTTAAAGCTCCAGATGCTGTTCAATTAAGCAGTGGGGAAACAAGAATCAAGGCTTCTTCTTAAATATCATCCCAAAGCTTCTACTTCCTGCACTGAATAAAGAACAACATTCTCACCGAAGACAGGCAATTGATATCAGGTGTACTTCTGCTATGAGCGTTGGACGTGATGTGAACAACAACCTGCAGATGGATATACTGAGATGAAGAACTCAGATATTGAAAAGGCAATATGATAAACCTTCAGATACTATAATACCAGCACAACAAAAAAAATCAGGTTCATCTTCACAAGATGTGAGGGTTTTGTTTTCACTGCAAATTGCTGTATTACCCAATGGTTCTGTTTTATTGACATATTTATTTATTACCTCATCACACTTCCCCAGTTTAATCATTCTATTTGTTTTAGAAATTACAGTTCAGGACCAGTGCTTGCCATAGCTACAATAATTTTGTACAAGATATCCAAACACTATCTCATCAATGGTAATGATTTTTTTTCCCTCTTGGGGTGATTGATTAAATAAGAAATCACATTTGCATACCACTTTTCAACCCATAGCACTACACAGAAGTGCAGCAGTCACCTGGATGGCACACAGCTGCCATTACCAGCCAGCAGCCTGTGGTGGAAAAGTGACAAATAACTTCAGAAGGCTCCACAGCCGAAACGTTGTGTTTCCTTTCTTCTCTTTTCAGCATGGAATACACCTTTACTTGTTCCTTTCCAGCCTATGGATGCTGATGCAGCTACCTACTGGAATATATGGATGTTAATTTGTACAAACCCAGAATGGAATTAATCTGGACACCAGATTTAACACCACTATTCCTACAAACAGTATGATGAAATATTTATGACCAGGCTGCTACAGTAGGATGGCAGTTGAATGTCCCAAATAAAGAATGACACCTCCTACATGTCCATATTGGGACGTTTATTTGGAAATTGTGATGGTCAAGATGGTCCATATATTGGTCACCTACTAATCCACCAAAAACTATTTCCTAAAAGGTTTGCCATTCCAGCACTGACCAGGCCCAACTTTGTTTAGCTTTGGAGACCTAACAAAATCAGACTACAAAGTGGTAAAATTGATGTTTAATTGTAACTTTATTACAATGTTCTATTCGCTATCACCAGTCCATAGCATAATACAGTTTCCCTTTAATTAAAATCTGTAACAAGATTTGCTATCCAATACTAGGGTCAGACCAGGGAAAACCCCTTGCATGTGGGTTCATCTACAAATTGCTGTTGTCATCATATACTTAACATACCACTGTGGCAAAGGAATCCAAAAGCAACGAGCTCAAGAAAGCACAGGAAGGCTGTGAACTGTTAATAGGCTACTGCCCTCCGGCAAGTGATTCCTCGGGTGTCTGGTTCATGGCAAGGCTAATTCCAAACTCGGACACAAAATGAACAGGTGAAAGAAGAAGAAATTGCTAATTGCTTTCAGATGTCTTTTTTCCTGAATATTATGTTTCCTTGTAGTATTCACACTTCTCTGGGTTAATATTGGGGCCCTCTACAAATTTATGTAGCAGTCTACAGATAATTGTAAACGTCTGAGGATAAATTAAGAAGTTCTTTGTTTTCTCTGTGGAGAATACACTACATACCTAATATAGTCTAGTTTACTCTATAATCTTTCTCAGTCCTTCTCGTTTTGGTGGGAAAAGCAAAACATTTGACCAAATACATGTATTGATTTCATTGATTTTGAATATTTTTTTTTTCTTATGGTCTTATTTTATATGAACTCAATGAAATGTTTAATATGTTTTAAAGGTTGTAGGGAAGAGTGGCAATACTGTACCACAGCAATAAGCAGTTGTGGTGTGTCAACTCATAGAAAGCAGTACAGAGATACAGTATTAGTATATCCAGCATTCACTCCTACTTACACAGACAGGGAAACTTTTCTTTCACAACTATATGATATTTCTAATAGAATTTTATGGAGATAATTCTAAAGGAACAACAATACTAAGTATTACACATTTTCTGTCATTACTTTGTAGTTTTAATTTGACTCAATATCCAAAGTCTATTAAATTGTGTGCTCACTTATGGCAAAAGATGCATAATTAGGATTTACACATTAAAAAGGCTTTTAATCTGGATTATTATTTACAATTATTATAGTTATTATTGTAATTGACTTTGGTTCTCTGCTTGTAACAAAATACAATTTAAGCTCACGAGTAAATCCTACAGGTGAACAAAAAGGTGGACTGTATAGAGGATTTATGAGCTCTGTTCCTTGCCCTTATATCGATTCTTCAGATGGCACTCCTAAACAAGGGAAGCTCTAAAAGGAACTATTCACCTCTGACAATTTTATGTGACCTAAATCGGCTACAGTGGCACATCAGACTGAATAAAGCCTAGATGGGTTTTGTCTCTGCTACCCATTAGAGTGTACAATACATTTTGAACTCCCGGCTGCGTTTCCAACCAAGATCGACAAATTTCAGAATTTGGTTCACATAACACACACAGTGAATTTTATATATCCTTCAATCAAGAAATCCCAGAACATTCTATGGATTGTTGTCCAGCACCTTAGTAATAAAAATCAATTTTCTTTTTCAGTTAACTGTTCTAAATACTGTAACTATTTTCTCAACAGCGTTGAATAAGGTTACTCGTAAAGCTGTTCATCCGTCATTTTTGATCCCAAACCAAGGTCTTCGAAGTTCCTTGGCAATTACGTGTGAGCTCCGTAATTAGTTTGGATTAATTAGTTCCAAATAGTACTAACTGGTCTAATGACCCTTGCAGCCAACTAACGACAATCGTAAAACAACTCCTCATCATCAGTGATAAAAAAACAAGTACAGCACACCAGCACACCATATACAGGTGTCTAATGGGCGTCTTTAAAACGGAGATGGAGTCTCTTCAATCACTCTGCAGCGTACCAGCTGCGACGGTTCTTCACACAGTTCCTCGCATCATATCATATCATTTTCAAACATAACTGCCATGCACGACCACATCTATGTAACTCATCTGAGTCAATACTTAAAAATAGAACCATCTTGAAGAAGCTAACGTGTGAACAGAACTTGTCAAAGTCACATTTGCAATGAACACCTAACGCAAAGCCCTAACAGTAGAGCAACATGCTTAATTACAGAAATTAGTGAAAATACAGTACCAGACGTGTAATTAACAGTTCAACTAGCTAACGACATATTTGCAATCCAACACTTGCGTTCGCGACTGACTTCAGAATTAATTGTGGTTACATCGTCCGTCAAATTCTTCAAATATACAAATAGAGCCTTGAACTTTCTCTCCAAATTACGACTGTTTTATTTGCGACCTTACACCCCAGGGAAAGAAACTTTTTATTGCAAACACCAGCATCACAAGCACACGGCTACTTCAAACGTGAATCGTGTGGTAAAAATAAAACGAAATTAAGGAGACACTGGAAATCATATTTCAGTTCATGACTACATCTGTAATCCGTATTGAGACAGTAAAGCAAGTTCCACGCTCAGAACAGAATTGCTATGAACGCTGCGCAAAACAAAGAGGAACCCCCCTTGTGCACAGTCCGAAAGAAGCAAACGCATAAAAGAAAATGGGGAAACAAGGTTGAGATTTCAGTTATATCCACGGTCGAATGAGAGAGCCTGCATTCTGTTACATTACTTGTGGTATTCACGCGTTAAGGTGATGCTTCAGCATTAATTGAATGGAAGAGTAATGTCTAGGGGGCTGCAGACAGCGACACTGTCTTGGCTTCGAAAGATACACGAGAGAAGCCTAAAGTAAACACCGTGTTAAAATGTATCATTTTAAACGCTGTGCATTACTTACAGTTCTTAAGAACTGAATTTCATCTTCCCCTTCACCTCCTTCGGCCATGGCTGTTGAGGAGCCTGCTTAGACTCTGATAGCCTCCACTGTCGGCTCGCAGCTCCGCGCTGCTACTCCTCTCGTACCGATATTAGCATATAGCTAATCCACAGCCATATAGGGGAGCCTGGGCAAACCTACTGCACTGCAGCCTGTCATTCACTCCCGCTTACTGCCAATGCCCGAGATAACGTTCCCAGGGGAGCTCTTCGCAGGCAAGCACCAGTTCTTGGGGATACCGAAGGTACAGAAAACACGGAAGACATGGAAATAAATCCTTTGCAGTCAAAATACAGCACCGGTGTCAGATCCCTGACGTCAGCAGTAGCGTTTATTTCATGCAGAATTGACCAAAATATCGAGCGTGGGTTCTGTATAGCACGCCTTTGAATATTAAACATGATTATACTGTATTAGTCACCGCATGTTTTTTAATATGACTGTTTACATTTAATAGAAACATTTTCTAACACAACCAAGTATGGGTAATTACAAGTAGCCTAACTGATTTTCTGTGATGAATAATCCATGCTTTTAAGGAAAACGTGTATAGAACTGCTTATACCATGTCCCTTTAACGTTATGTTTCATACAACTCCTCTCAGGTTTTGAATTAACCAACAATAACTAGCTGGAGACTTTATAATAGCAATTCTAATGTTAAATACAGTTCACTGTTCCCTGATTGCAAGTACAAACGACCGCAGTGTAAGTATTGTTTCATTTCAGTTATGTCTAAATTGCAAGCCTTCCATAGTTTCAGTGTCACAATAGCATCCCTGTAATTTGGTGCCTTATGATGAGATGGCTTTTGGCACGCGTTAAAAAGCGTGTCTATACTGTTTTAGAAAGCATCACAATGTGTTTCAGCTGGGATCATTAAAATATCGTAGAAAATGCAGTGAGATTTAATCCTTTTTGAAAGACCGTTTTAGCTTTAGGGTAGGTTGTTGAGTACTTTAAATCTGATTCAGTGTAATCCCTACATGATATGTTCCAAACAAATTAAAGATTAATAACAATTCTTTCCTTAACCCAACCAATTAGAAATACAGCATTTTTATTTTTCTTAAAACGGTAGGTTATTTATTAATTTATTTAAACACGGGATCATATAACTATTGAGTGTATCTGTGGTTGTCATGACACGCATCAGCAAACTGAAAATTGGTAAAGCATCTATACATATTTCAACGCCATGCTCAGTATGAAATAAAGTACTGTAATCTTAGATGAGTACAATGTAAACAAATAAAATAAGGAACACACTAATTTCACGGGTAAATAAAAAGTAAAAACACCCACAAAAAATGTTTAAATTGTTGTGTTGTTAATTGGCAGACATGGTGACATACTGTACAGAAGGGACATGTCACAATGGACATAGGTGCCATGTCACACCTCTGGGGTTTTGGTTTTGTTTCTGGGCTAGGGAACCTTCTGTGTGGAGTATGTATGTTCTCACTGTGTTCATATGAGTTTTATCCAGGAGCTATGATCTCCCCCCACCTCTCTTTCAGCACAGAAGTCTACAGTTATTGACTGTGCCCATTTCCTGAGAAATCCTGCCGGTTTGAGGCCTTGAAATTATTCATGGCTAAGGACTAGGAAACTCCTTTGGACAAATTAGGTAGATATGTACACCAATTAAAAAAGATTGGGCATCATGGCCAGCCATTTGTGCCTTAAATCATTCACTGGTTGAAAGAGAACTTTTTGGCATCTGCATCTTTCAGAATTTCATAAGCATATTTTAAATTTATGGCCTAGTGATTATAAAACACTCTGAGGACAGGAGATAAAGCTCTTCAATTAATTGAATGATTAGACTCACTAAACTAACTGAAGAGGTGCAGTGGAAATAAAGTGAAAGGATTTAACAATTCTGAAAGTAAACAACAACCAATCAAAATGTTTACTTCACACACAGCAAACTGTAGGATGTAAGACAACAGCTACTAATATACACAAATGAATTTTCTATGGATACTGCCATGTTATGTCGTGGATAATAAGTCACTAGGAAGAATATCAAGGTAGTGGGTAATTAAAGCTACTAACAATTTGGTATGAAGCATTGAATTAATTTATCTTCTTTGTATCCTGATTTATATCTGAATTGAAAAGTAAGGATAATTGACAATAATTCAACTTATGTATATTTGAAATGATGGCTACAACAATAAACAGAAAAAAAAAACTATCTGCACAGATTTTGACCTATAGAAAAGAATCTTCACAGATGAAGATTAAACAAATATCCATAAAGTGCCATTACAATGACAATAATACTTTAATTAGGTTTTAATTGATAAATAGACAAGTAGTTGTACTTGTCTTGATGAATAGACAAGAAGACAACAACAACAACACACCAAACGTCTAGCAAAACAGCAAAACGATTAATTTTCTTAGTTTTAACGTTTTTCAGTTTTCTGACAAGGGAAAAAATGAACAAAACGTCTTCCCAATTGTCAACTGCACCATTAAAATACATTTATACCATCAGATATCATTTATTAGAAAATTACATTTTTTAAACTTGAATAGAATTGTCAAATAATGTACAGTATTTCAAGTTAGTACAGTTACAGTATATACCCTAATCTTTTTTCTGTTATGTTGATTTTCCAAGAAAGGATGTGCTATAATTTACTGTTGTGTACACTGTGCTTCATAGTAAAATAATCCTCTTTACGCTGTAAGTGCATTCTTTGCTGATACTTCAAACTATTCCATGTTGCTATCTGGAACCCTTTTACCCTTTCAGCACAGCAATAAATTTGCAATTCCACAAGAAAAGTAATACTGTCAGCTGTTCTTTTAAATTTCCCCTGGGTTTCCTCAAATTATTGAAAACCAGCTGTTTATAGAATGTAAGTAACTCATATACAGTATACCTATTCTACAGTATATAGTGTAACTACTAAAATTTGTGCTTATAAAGCATAAATGAAACACATCTTCCATTCTATTAAATTGAGCTGTGATTGATTTAATATTTAACTTGTCCATGTTGAGTCTTTAATACACATTTCTAAGAATTAAATAATTACTGTGACATATTATTGATATTATCCTTCATAGTAGAGTACATCTTTATTGCAAGCTTCCCTATGATTTGAAAGTACAGTACTTGTACTGTAAATACCTCAGAAGCTCATTTCTATATAGGACTGCATAGTTTCTCATACAACACAAAGTAGAAAGCAGATAATACAGACAGTGGCAGGAATGCAGGCTGTGAGGCCAATCTTATTTATTCTAAGAAAGAGTACCCTGTTCTGAATAAATTTAGTAGGATTTCAGACGTACAGTGCCCTGAACAACCTTTGCTAGGGGTCTCAGAATCTTGAACAGTTTTCGGTTTGTTGTTTAAAGCCTGCAATCATGACACTTTGAAGTAGCAATTAATATTAGATATATACTGTATACAACCTATGTCACACTTTCTAAACTAAAAACAAAAAGGAAGAAGTAAAAAGATAACTAATATGAAAGAAAAATGTATCATGATTGTATAACTATTCAAACCCTTTGCTGTGGTACACCCAAGTTTATACAGGTGCACATAATTACATTAGGGAGCCACTAAATTAGTTAAGTGGCCTCTGATTGTATGCAATAATAAGATAAAATTTTTAGCCTTATACTGTACAATTTCTTGCATTATGAATTCATCTTTTTCGCATACCCCAGCTAGGATCCTACTCTGTTGGGCCCCCGAGCAAGGCCCTTAACCTCAACTGCTCCAGGGGCGCTGTACGATGGCTGACCCTGTGCTCTGACCCCAAGCTTCTCTGCCTGTCTATGTGTGTGTCTCATGGAGAGCAAGCTGGGGTATGCGAAAAGACGAATTCCTAATGCAAGAAATTGTATATGGCTAATAAAGTGATATTATTATTGCATACAATTGAGGCCTAAGAGTGGTTCACATGATTTCATAATAAATACACTTATCTCTGTAAGGTCCCTTAGTCAGGTAGTGAATATCAAGCAAAGATTCAATCATCTTAAAACTTTCAAAACAACTTGGGGATAAAGTTGTATAAAGGCACATATCAGGGGCAGGGCATAAAAACGTTCAAAAACCCTTAACCCTCTCTTTGAAGTAAATCCTTAAAAGGGGAAGACACATACAGTAGATGCTGACTAGATCAGGCCGTTCCTTCATATGGAGCAGTTGGGCAAGGAGGCAACTGGTTAGGGATACCAAAGGCAACTTTACAGAGTTCCAGAGTTCATAGGACACAGGACAACAACATTCTGGTCACTCCACAAAGGGTGCTTGTGTGGAAATAAAAAAATCTCACTGCTTTCCATCAATGATTCCCTAACAACTTGAGAGAACTTGAGTAAATCTGCCAAGAAGCATGGGCACAAATTGCATCAGGCCTGTGACTGACAAATGTGCTTCCATCAAATATTGAATTAATGGGTCTGGATACTTATACAATCAACATATTCAAGTTTTTCTCTTTAGTTTTTGCCAACATTCACTGTCTCTTATTTTACCTTTTTATAGTCTTCAATTTGTGCATTCAGATTTTGTTTACAGTATTAATCTTAAAACATGTACTGTATATGCATTAGTTGGTAATTTCACAAAATTAGACACCTTGGGAATGGTGTGAATACTTTTGCACAGCTCTGTAATTTTTAGAGAAAGAAGAGTCATATTTTTCTTACACTTTGAGCTCCCCCATGCTCTTGGTGACGTGTCATGACTCGCAGCTCATAGCCTATCATTAACAGGATGTGTTTGGATGTAACCTTTTGCCAGGTTAGAAATCAAACTGGCTTTGAACACCCCAGAGAGTGAATGACAGTGTGCTGACAAAGTCAAACATGCCAATAGCACAAAGGTCAGATTGGTTCCTTTTTAATATACTGTAGCTTTTCTTGATTATCAGCAGGTTAAGCTGAATCAACCAAGTCAACCCTTTCATTAATGAGGTGATTTTAGTGCTTGTCCACTAGTTAAAGTCACACAAGTGAATCACAATGAGCAAAAGAATTAATCAATATCCAAAATTCAAATAATATTTTTCTAAATGTACACATGAACGATAAGGCTCCTT